TTGGGTATCAATCCACCCCTTTCGGTCATAGTTAGACACACCCGTGGTGGTCAATTTCAAGAGTTTGGCCAACCGGCCTTCGGAAAGCACAATTTCCTTGCCACGGACCTTGGTGGCGATTTCTATCTTGTCACCCCGTTTGGTGGCCACAAGGTGTTGATAGAACTCCTTCACCAACTCGGGGTATGTATCCCCTTTGATGGTGAGGTATGCATCTAGGAGCCCTTGGTGTTTAAGCATATCGACCAATTCCGGAGAGAATTGGTCGGGTTCAAGACTTTTACCTCCGATCACGGTGTAATCGGCGTTGTTCCATTCCAGGGTGCGGATTCCGAGGAGCTTTTTCGGCATCGTGAATCTCTCTTTGGCGGTGAGAAACTCCGGCAAAATTTCCGGCAGCCTTTCCGGTGAACCTCCGGCGAACTTTTCCGGCGAGACGGCGGGGCTCCGGCGTGTCCTTCCTGGTGGCCGAGCGTGCGGCGATTCGTGGTGCTCCGGTGGAGGATCGGTGATGGGAGACGACGGCCTTGGCGAGGGAGAGAGGCGACTTCGGGGTGGTGCGCAGCGAGACAGCGGGCGGTGGCCGGGCGGTCTTCGGGCGAGGGCGGCTGGGCGCTGTTGCGGTGGTGCAGCGGCGCGGGCTGGCGGGAGGCGGTCGGACGGCGGCGGCGTTCGTGCGGCGGTGGCGTCGAGTGGTTTGAGGGTGGTTGCTACGGTGGGACGGCGGGTTGTGTGGAAGGGAGAAGGAGAGGGAGTGGGGAAGGAGAAGGGGAGGAAGAAGGAGGAGAAGGGTTTTTGATTTGGGGTTTTTGTGGGTTTTAGGAACTTGGGGGGGTTTTAACAAGGGAGTATCCCCTTAAGGTTTTAAGAAACACTCATGGGCTAGCGGTTGAGGCTTTAACTTGTAGAAGGGAGGTCTAAGGTTCTATTCCTAATGGTAACATTAAGTATTTCTTGATGGTGTGGTTTTTGTCTTTTTCCTTGTTTCGTCTTTTAGTGGAGGGAAGGTTGGGTTGATAGTATAACTTCTGTTTTACCTTTGTAGTGGAAATTGGAATTTGATCAAAAATCTTTATTCATAATAATTCCGAAATAGCTAAGCTAAGTAAGTGGTCTTTATGACAAAAGAGGGGGGGGGGGGGTGGTTACAAGGGGGTGTGACGGCTTATCCTAGACAGTATTCGTTTTCTTGGTTTTCTTCTGCGGGGTCCGTATGGTCCTCGTCTTCCGGGATTGGGTTTCCCTCTCCGAGGTCCTCCTCGTTCCCGAGGTTGGCTTGAGTGTGGCTCATGACAAATACTTTCCCGGGAGCGCCGTAACTCCCTTGATGATCGGTGCCCCCGTGTTGACCCACGGTGGCGGGGCGTGGTCCTTGGGGTCGAGTGCATTGGAAGGCCTTGTGTCCTTCCTCTCCGCAGTTGAAGCATCGCCAGGGATTGCCCGCGCAATCCTTGCCCCTGTGGCTTTTGTTGCATCTCGGGCAAGGGAAGCTCCTTGGATTAGCTTCGTTGTTTCCCAGGGGCGGTCTTTGGTTGGTCGGGTTGTTCGTCCTTATGCCGGTGTCGTTTCTCGTTCTCTTCACTGGCGGTGCCCCACTTCCGGTGTTTCTTCTTCGTATTTGTTCCTGAACTCCGCGTTGGAGTAGTTGGATTCGATAGAGGTTCGCGGCACTGGAGTAAGCCTCGTTGAGGGTCCGAGGTCTGCTTACCACTAGCGCCTTCCGAGCTTCGAAGTTGAGGCCCGACACGAATCTCTCTATCTTGGTTACCTCGGTGGGGACTAGCTCTGGTGCGAAGCGTGCCAGCTCGAGGAATCGTTTATGGTATTCTACAACGGTGGTCGTTCCTTGTTTTAGATGAAGGAACTCTTCGTACATGGATGCCTTTACGTGGGTTGGATAGAATCTCTCTCGTAGTCGTGTCTTGAGGTTCTCCTAATTGAACCCCGGTCCTTGTTGATAAGTGGGTCCCTCGTGGATCCACCAGAGATCGGCCTCGTGCCCGAAGTAGAACGAGGCTATCTCTACGCGGCGTTCCTCCGAGCATTCTACTACCCCAAAAATCTTGTCAAGGGTTCGGATCCATTCTTCTAGGACCGCGGGATCCTCTTCTCCCGAAAACGTGGGTGGTCGGTGATTTGAAACTTGTCGGGCGATGTCTGAGTTTGCGTTTGATGGAGGTGGTGGGGGCCTGTTGTTGCGAAGGGCCGCGTCACTTAATGCTTGTGCGACTTGTGTCAGCTGTCGTAGGGTTTGGGTCAAGGGGTCGTCTGTGGCGGGCTCCGAAGTTCTTGATTGTCTCCTGTTCGGTGCCATGCTATCGTCTTTCTGGTCAGTGTTTATAAGAACGTTAATTTAGAGTCTGACGCACTTCTTATGAAGTGATAAGTGGGGAAGGGTTTTAGAATGAGGAAGGGTAAAATGTAGAGAAGTTATGTGTAGGTTTCACAATCTCACCGCGCGTCCTAAGATTCCTGAGTCCTATGTTCCTAGGTACCTAGAGTTCAAGCCTAAAGTCCTAAAGCCCGTCTTAAGGGTCTTTTCCTAGGGTCAAACTTAGGCTCTGATACCAACTGTAACACCCCAGATTTTCAAGACATTTAAAACTTATAATAAAGGTAGAATCTTATTAAATCCCAAGATATAAATACAAGCGTTCGGGGTGCTATGCCACACCTGGGCTAGAGAACCCAAGTGCACAGGCTAACTAACTAATATCCTCAAAGCGTAAATACGTAAACGTGGCACGCAGGCCAAAAGGGAAACTATCTACTTCTAAGTTCTAGCGCACTCCAGTGACTTAATCTTCTGTGCCTGAAAGCCAAATATATCTGTTCAGCGAGAGATGCTGGTAACCCACTCCAACGCGTTGAAATACAATACATATAAAGATATATATAGATATACGAAAACCATTTTGAGCATGAAGATATATTCTACGAACTCTAGCTTTAAAACCGGGAATGACTCGACAGATAAGGCAAGGCACAAGCAACAGTTATAACAAGCATATGCAGTTCACAACAGATAAGGCAGATAAGGCAAAGCATAAACAATGATCATAACCCAACATGAACAATCCCCAATATAAATCCCATAGTCACATCCCCCAAGATACTCGTAATCACAACTCGTCCCCGTCACAACACATAACACACTTTGTTGGCGCCACAGGACCAATCGCATGCCCATACATGAGGGTCAGCGCATATAGCTCTGACACGGCCCCGCAGCACCCTGCCCCGTATCGCAACACGGAGGGGTCGATCGCAACCGACCGATGAACCGCAGCTCATCATAGTGTTTGATCGCAACCAAACAGTGGACCGCAGCCCAAGAGAATGTCATCTGACCGCAGCCAGGAAAAAGGACGAACCGCAGCTCGTATAGAAACGTTTGATCGCAACCAAACGGTGGACCGCAGCCCAAGAGTATCAATCTGACCGCAGCCAGCTTCTGAACCGCAGCTCAGGATAACCAATCCGATCGCAACCGAATTGGGGTAACACACACACATATCACATAGCAAGCACATGCAACCCACATTACACATTAGGAAGGGGGAGAAAACGTATAACAAAACCTATGCATGATCCATCACATACTAAGAATAGTCCTAAGGGATTCATACTTCTACCACCTAGGTCAACGGGATACCAATTCAACTAGCATGCAATATAATAGACTCATAAACCTACGAACGGTACCCGAAACATCAAACTAGACATAGGCACGATAAACGGAGTCCGTTGGGACACCACGGGGAACGGGGGAACATCAAACGGGGAAGCCGGGATCCCAAGGTGGGATAATTTCCAGCGGGTAGCCGGTGGGTGGGGGGCCACCCGCCGGTCTTTACTGTTCCGGGCAGCTGCCCGCCCGCCGGCTACCCGCTGCCGGGCGGTGTTTCACGGCCGTGGGTAGGTGGCGGGTCCCCTACCCCCCACTGACTCTTTTCACACACTTTACGCCCCGGGAACCGTTGTGGAACCCGAAACCATGCTTAGACACTTTACAACGCAATTAACGACAACACGTAGACAATTAACGAATCAAATACAAGAAACGAACGGCACATAACCTATCATGCTTTTCTAAATATAATCAACACCCAAACATGCGATTTCCCCACCCGATAATCTAAGAATAAGATCATACGATACAACCTAGGGTTCTAATCACTTTTATATCAACAAGAATACGGTTCGTCTTCTAATTGCAAGATTCGGTAAGAATAACACATAAACATCAAGAGCATCACATAATTATCAAGAACAACACATAATCATCAAGAACTCCATATAATCATCAAGAATATCCCAATATCAAGATTATCAAGATCACGTCAAACATCAATAATCATCATAATATCTCGCCAATACACAATAATATGGGGGAAACCCTAAGGGGGAATCATAGCTATGAAAATAGGTTTTGTTGAGACATGGGTTACCTCTTAGCCTTAATTAATTCCTTGGCTATGAAGGATCTTTATTTAAGCTTCCTTGCTTTCTTGATTTCTCCTAAGGGGATTCTTGGAGCTCTTTTTGGGGTGGTGGGGCGTTAATCTTGTGGGGAGTTCTAGGTGCCTCTTAAGTCCCCTATTTATATATTTAGGAGTCCTAATTAGGAACTAATATTATAGGCTCGCTAATTCTATTCCTTTTGGAACTAAGGATTGGGTTTAGGGGTTGGGTTTATATATGAGGGCCCATGGACTATGGTGGGCCTTTTTCCCTAATTAATCATTATAATTTATTCTTTCTCTTGGGCTATTGATTAATTAATTAAATGGTTTTAGGGGCCGTAACACGGGGTGTTACAATGGCATACACCACACTTCATAGGCAACATACCAAACCCAATTCTATATATTCAGAGAACATGGTGGAAGCATCATCATAGCATAATAATGAACATTTATACAGGTATAAATTATAAGTATAGTGAGTCAGAAGTCAGAAGTCACATTTAGACATTTAGTCAGTACTTATACTGATACCTGAGCTCAATGGCAGCAACATTTAAAATGTTACCTTGCCATGAGCACTTTCCAGTTTCCAGTTCAAACTTCCCAGCCTCACGAGGGACATTGATTTGAATCATTGATACACATACATGATACACTGATACAGAGGCATAAATTTATCATGAAATCAAATAAGTAAATAAGTAATCACAAATTCAGATTTCAAAATAAATTAATGGAAACTGTAAACATACAACAATTGTAGGCATTCCAGTTCCAGTGCTGGATGTGCAGCACAACTCTGCAGTACAAAAACAAAATGGAAATTAAAACTTAAACAATTAAGCAGATCATTGCTGGAAGTTAGAAGTATATACCTTTCTCAATCCTTTCAACATCTTCAATATTTTCTTCGATTGAGATTGGTTGGTTGCTTAACCTTAGCCAATCCTGTGCACACACCAATGCCTCAACAATTCTAGGAGTTAGGGAACTCCTAAAGGCATCAAGCACCCTTCCACTTGTACTGAATGCTGATTCTGAAGCAACAGTTGATATTGGAACAGCTAGAATATCCCTTGCCATTTTAGATAAGACAGGGAACCTTTCAGATTGTTGCTTCCACCATCTTAGAAGGTCAAATGAATCATCCTCATCCACAACAACCTCAGAGAGATACGCTTCCAACTCAGTTTTTTTCCTAGACAAATCCCCACTCACCAATTTTTGCTTCTTAATCTGAGATTTCAGTAATGATTGAGGTCTCCCAACAGAAACTGAATCAGATATTGTTATTGAGGGAGAACATTTTTCAGATTGTTCAACAGACTGGACAGGGAAGCATGCAACATAATCTTCAAACAACTCCTTAAGGCCAACAATCACCTTATCAAACATTGTTTTACCCTTGTCCTCACCATATAACTGGTTAAACTGAATGGGCATATACTCAATTTTGTCCCTGGGGTGTAAGATATTTGCATAGAATATCAAAAAATTCATTTTTTCAGGCTCACCCCAATACTTATCAAATTCTGCCCTCATATTTTTACCCATCAGTTTTAACACTATCTTCTGTAGCTTCCTCCATATTTTTCAACAAGAAAGACAAATCAGAAATCTCAGAGAAGAAGGTATTAGAAGTCACATACAATGATCCAGAAATCCTAACAGTCATTTCATAAAAAGATTTCAGAATCATAACCAAAGATTGAATGGATTCCCAATCTAAGAAATCAGGTACACTTCCACCCAAATCAGATTTAAATGAACTGTCATGATCATCATAGGCTTCAAATACCTTCTGAAACAGTAATGCAGTATTAAGCATCATATATGTGGAATTCCACCTTGTAGGGACATCTAGACACAGAGAATTCTTAGCTTCCACCCCAATTAGATCAGCTAGTGATTTAAACTTCTGCAACCTAGCAGGTGAGCTCCTCACATACCTAACAGCATCCCTGACTTTCTTAACAGAACTGTCACATTCTTTCAACTCATCCTGTACCACCAAGTTAAGAATGTGAGCAATGCACCTCATGTGCAAATACTTACACCTAACAGCAGTACAACCCCAAGAGCCCAACTTCTTCTTCAAGAATCCTAGGGCAGTATCATTGCTGGAAGCATTATCTACTGTCACACTAAACACTGATTTTAAACCCCAGTCCAAAAGGCAACTCTCTAAAGCCTTTGCAATACTTTCCCCCTTGTGGGAATATATAGGAACAAATGAAATAATCTTCTTTTGCAGCTTCCACTCACTATCAATGAAATGTGCAGTTATGCACATGTAGTTTATTCTCTGGACTGAGGTCCAAGTATCAGTTGTGATACTTACCCTCTGACTGCTAGTCCTAAAAAACTTCTTCAAGTTGACCCTCTCATCAGAAAATATCTTGAAAATGTCCCTACTGATAGTCCATCTTGAAGGGATTTTAAACCTAGGACAGCAAACTAAAACAAACTTTCTAAAACCCTGTCCCTCAACAATCCTAAAAGGAAGTTCATCTAAAATAATCATCTCAGCTAAGGCTCTCCTTATCAAGTCTTGATCAAACACCCAAGTACCCAACACCCCTTCAGTTCCTTCACTACTTTGAGTTCCAACAGAAGAAGGTGCAGGTTGGAATGTGAGTAGGGACTGCATTGTCTCCTTAGAGTGAGGATTTTTAAGGCAGTTTACCACATGAAGTCTGAGAGAAAAAGTCTCATGTTTCTTGGTCTCACAACAATACACTTTTGCACAATATATACATTTTCCTTTGATGACAATGCCCTCACTATCTTTGATCTTTTCAAAGTGATCCCAACATGGAGCCCTGGATTCAACCTCTTTCCTTTTCTTTGGAACAGGTGGAGGCAAAGGCTGCTGAGACTGAGGAGTAACAGTCTCTACAGCAGGTGCTTCCAACTCAGGTTGGGTTCCAGATACACCAGTAACACCACTAACACTTTCCATCTAAAAAGGGGAAAGTATTAGTGACACAGAATTGGAAATCACTCATTGAAAATCATCAACAGAGAATGGGCTTTGTCACATACACACATGTATCAATTAAAGTGTTAAACAGGCAGAGTTCAGTGAATTGAACATTTCATCATGTATGCAGAATTGCACATAAATGATTTAAGGGTCACATATCCATAAACTTACAACTTACAAATTACAATTTACAATGAAATCCATAATCAGGCATTCAAGCTAAGTAGGTGTATGCTACTTTATATGCTCATCATTTATATGGATTTCAGTCACACACTCCCACATTTATATGGATTTCAGTCACACATAAGTACAAGACACACTCCCACATTTATATGGCTTCCACACAAATACCATCATGCTTAACATTTATATGGATTTCAGTATTTAACACACAGTGGCAAGGGGCTAGGGTAGTATGGCTTCCACCACAGATTAGGTTACAAATTAGAAACCCTAATCAAACAATTCACAAATTCACACTCAAAGAACTACTGACATGCAATCCGGAACTTCTCAACGGATTTACAAGTATCATAGTCCAGTGAGTCCACATATTTACGTTACAAATTAGAAACCCTAATCACACAATTCACAAATTCAAACTCAAAGGACTAGTGACATGCAATCCGGAACTTCTCAACGGATTTACAAGTATCACAGTCCACATAATCATAAAAATTAGAAACCCTAATCAAGAAGACAAATACACAATAATCTATAACGGAAATGTAAATAGGGTTTAGTAATTACTTCGTTTCTCATATTTAATCCCTCAAGAACAAAGGGCTTCAAATCCACTATTCCACCGTTCAACAGTTCCACCAGACTCCGGTGACCGGACTAGGGTCTAGGGCTTCCACCGTTCAACCACTCAGCCAGTCGCTACTCCGAGTCTCCGAATAGGGCTTCCACCAGACTAACAAACAGAGACTAAGACTCTCAGAGTCTTAGAGAGTAAGACACTAAGAGTCTAAGACTCAAAGTCTCAAAGACCAGAGCGAAAGAGAGAACGAGAGATGAGAGATGAGAGATGAGAGATTGAGAGAAGTCTAGAAGAGTCAAGAGTGAACTGAGAGCTCGGCTGCGCTCAATGAAATGAGTAATATATATACATACACCAAACGACATCGTATTATATAGCGGAAAAAAACCCTAGGGTTTTATCCGGTAATCGGACGGGTTCGGGTGGCGTTTACTGCCTCCCACCCGAACCCCTTGCATCCGTCTAATAACGTAGCGTCGGATCGGGTTGGGTATTCGGATACGGTTCACTCCACGGACTCACCCGTCGGGTTTCGGGTCAGTCGGGTGGGTCGGATTTTTCGGGTTTTGCACACCCCTAAAGTCAGGACATTTTATGGCAGAATATGCATATCCCAATGTAAGTAAAAATATAGCTAACTTTCCACAGGAAAATTCTGAAACCAAAAATAGAAGATTCAAGAGAGACAAAAGAAAAAGCACTTATAGAAAGTGATCCAGTTGAACCAAATGAGTTAGAAGAATCATCCTCAATCGATGAAAGTAATTCCTCATAAGATGACACGAAGTTGTATTATCTTGTGAGCAAAATTATTGAGCTAGATTCTGAGGAAGAATGCCTTATGAATAATTCCTTATTACATTATGAATAATAGGCTTAATCCTTAACAAACTCTTGAGTTGCTCCCTAGTCCCTACTGTGTATCCTTCTTGGGCTTCCATGATCCAGTTGTTTTTTTTGGACCAGTCCATGCATGTGGCTCAGGCCTAGTATACCATCCATCACATACTGATACTGTAGTTTTATTTGAGCACACAGCACACTAAAATATCATTTCAATTCAACTACAGTTTTATTTGATAATATACACTCAATACATGAGACATATTCAGTTTCATTTTAGATACACTGTATTTTAAATATACTGTAGTTTTATTTTATTATAAGCACATCACAAATACGAGATTTGTTAAAAATAACGGTCAACGTTTCTTTACTTATAAAAACGACGTCGTTTTTGAACCATAGTCTACACAACTCTGTGGGCCATTGTACATCATATAACAATTGTAATAAAGTTGACGATTGACGTTTTTGAACCATAGTCTACACAACTCTGTGGACCATTGTAGATCATATAACAATTGTAATAAAGTTGACGATTGGTCCATGGCTACATGAAGCGTTGGGTGGTTCAGGGCCGGATTTTAGGCTGTGCAAGCTGGGCTACCGCACAGGGCCCCCAATTTTAGAGGGGCCCCAAATGTTAGAGGTCCAATATTTAATTTTTACCTAGGTAGCTTAGAAATAAAAATTAAAAGTTTTCAATTAAACTTAAAAAATTCCATGAAAAGATGGTAAGAATGTGTATTTATTGTATTTTAACTTAGAGGTCAAGAGCTCGAAACTTGCATGTATTGATTTTAAAAATTATGATTTTGGTAGGGCCACATTTATTTGCCAGAACAGGGCCACAAAAAAACTTAAAATACGGCCCTAGGGTGGTTAATGCCTTTGTAAAAACATAGGGCGTAAAACCTATAATGAGGCATTGGCACGAATACTTAAGGCAAAAATATTATGTGCATGATAGTTCAATTTAGATTTTTTTTTTATTGGCAACATAATTTTTTCTCAAGTGAAAATAATAATAATAATAATAATAATAATAATAATAATAATAATAATAATAATAATAATAATAATAAAATAGTAATAATAATAATAATAATAATAATAATAATAATAATAATAATAATAATAATGAGACCAATGAGTATCAACTACTATATAGTGTAATAACACTTCTATTATCATTCCAAATGGATGGTCGATAGAGACATTGATTCTTTGGACCGGACAGACACATAATTTTTTAATAAAGACTCACATGCAATATTAGGTGAATCCTAGCCTATGGGGGTGTTAGCGAACAGAGCTTTCGGCAAAACTATTCGTGTTCGTGTTCGGTAAGCGTTCGTTTATGTTCGTTTGTTAAGGTAAACGAACATTAACAAACAAAATTTAGAGCTCGGTTAATAAACGAACAAAGCTTGAACAGTTGTAAGCTCGTTTGCTAAGATATCGTGAACTAGCTCGTTTGTGTTCGTTTACTAATGTTCGTGAACAAGCTCGTTTATGTTCGTTTAATAATGTTCGTGAACAAGCTCGTTTGTGTTCGTTTAATAATATTCGCGAACATATATTATATTATATTATATTAGTTTTGTAGTTGTGTTGTTTGTTTTATTATTATTCGTGAACGTATATTATTTATTGTTCACGAACGAATTGTGATCATGAACATGTGCAGGTGTTTGTTTATTAAGTATTCATGAACGTAAATGAATATGTTACGTTCATGAACGTACTTGTTAATGAACATGTTTGTGAACGTGTTTGTTAACGTTAACGAACGTGTTCACGAACGTTAACAAACACGTTCGCGAACATGTTCGTTAACGTTAACGAACATGTTCGCGAACGTTAACAAACACTAACGAACACTTAACAAACGAACACAAATATGATTTTCAAAAACCTTAACAAACGAACACGAACACAAACACTCCAAATTCCTTAACAAACAAACACGAACAACCTACGTTCGTTTATGTTCGGTTCGTTAACAACCCTACCTATTGTATAACAATTGGTCCAAGCATGATCATAAGTCTGAAAGTACCTTTCTTGCACAGAGTATGCACTATCCATATGCAACTTGAATCAATTTTTTTTTTTTTTTTTTGAAAACTAAAGGGAACAAACTTCATTAAATCAAATGTTCAATACATTGCGGAGTAGAATTGAAATAAGTAAGAGGACCAGAATACGAACGAGCAGCCCTAGCTAAGGTATGGGCGACTATGTTCACTGATCGAGGCACAAAACAAAGAGACATAGAATCAAAGTCTCGTTGAATTTCCCGGCACTTGTTCAAAATACAACCCGTGTAAGTAAAGTCCGGCAAAGAGCTCTTAAAGAAATTGCATACCGTCTGGCAATCCGAAAACACTATAACCTTTGTAAGATTCAAATCCTTAGCCCACAACAAAGCTTCCTTAATCGCCATAGATTCCGCGAGGTGAGCATCATCTAGACAGTTCATAGGGCCATGGCGCGCTCCAAAAAACACCCCGTTTGAATATTTAATAAAAATTTCATAGCTAGCCTCATGACTTTCTGGGAAAACAGCGGCATCTACGAAGATATGCAAACTATCAATAGACAAGCCTTGATCCGTATGCTCGGAGGGTTGTCCGTCAACACCACCAACCTCGAATTCCACCACCTTGAATCAATTGTTTCTACTTTTCTATGTAACTTGTAAGTGTATGCAAAATTAATTCATAGAAGCAATTACCTTTATTTTTCTATCGCAAACGGCCATTTCAAATTTTTATTTATAAAAAGAAAGTTGGTTTCAAAATTTTGTTTAAAGCATCTATCACCGTTCGATTAATTACAGTTTGGCCATCTGATTCTGTTGCAACTTAATTACAAAGAACATACAACTCAAGTAACTGTGCCCAAAAAAAAAAAAAAAAAAAAAAAAAAAAATCCAAGCAGAGAGTGGTCCTCTTTGGCAGTGGCACTTTCAGATCGTCAAATCATGCAGCTGAAAATGACGTGTTCGGAGAGATAGACGAGAGAGAAGCCGACAAAACAGCCATCCTCCGAAAAACCCACTAAAATTGTTTGGTCTGCCTTACAATAAATAAAACGCGACCCTATCTTCCAGCTTTCAGCTTATAAAAATCTGAAACACCAAAGAGAAAACGCCAAGCCTGGCAGCAGCCCATGTGAAAACGACTTTACTTTGATACAAAAACTTTCATAAAAACACATATTGAACAAGTGAACAACTATATATGTGTATGGTTATATTTTTCTTGGTTTCGGGTTTGGGTTTAGCCATTGTTATCAAGAGGAAAGCAGGTGTCTTCGCCGCCCGTGTTCCACAGGAAATGAGCATAATTGGCAGGATAGAAGGGGTTGTTTGGGTCGGCATCCATGGCTGCCTGGTAGGTCTGTTCTGCAGCCCAGAGGTCGTTTCTCGCCTGCCACAAAAACGTCGCATATTTGTTCAATGCTTCTGCATCCTTAGGCTCCACTTCAGCTGCTCTCTTGAAATATTCCTCCGCTCTGTACGTTTTCAACAACACAGGTCAACATCTGCTTAAAAGGAATAACAACAAGAAGAAAACGAATATCTCCATTCGCAAATTCAATATTTTTAGCTACTTCACAAGTTTATATATGGTCCACGACGTTGAAGTATAGCCATATAGGGACTAAAGATTTATATGTATAGAGATTGATGATATTTTCAGCATATTAGACATGCTACAAATTGGCAAATTGCTTGCTATCATCCAATGAACTTGTACAGCCTTACACCACATATTCCCTTATCAAGATTGTACTCAACCTCTACAAAAATTCAAATTATACCCGAAAAGTAGTCCATTAAGGTTCATTTACTTACCCACTATAACAGTTTTGTTAAATGAAGCAACATATCTTTGACCATTTTACAAGCAAGGAAGCATAAAAGTCATGGACTACATACAATAATATCCTCCAACTAATGCAAAGATTGATTAATATAGCTAGGAACTAATATGCTATAGGCCCTGTTTGGTAAAATGGCTGTTAACTGATACTTGTTAGCTGTTAGCTGATTGTGTTAATTAGAGGATATAAATAGTTGATAACATTAGCTGATTGTAGAAAAGTGTTTGGTAAATTAGTTGTTAGTTGATAGCTTTTTGATATAATTTCTTTTCTCAAAAAACTAATTGAAAAAGTTGTTTGGAGTAGCTTTTTGAATTTTAGCCTTTTGGAATTGCAAAAAGCTAATTAACCAAACATTTATATTGATATTTTAACTAAATCAAACAATTAACAGTGATCAAATAAGCCAAAATTGGCCTATAGGCCAATTTTTTACCAAACAGGGCGAAGAAAATTTTTACCTGTCATAATCTTGGGCAATGAGGAATAGAAACTGAGCATAATTGGCAAGCAAAAGAGTGTTGTTTGGTTCTTGGGCAAGTCCGGTTTGATACAGCAGCTCAGTTCTGAAATAATCAGTATAATCATCTGATTCGATCTTTGCATTTATTGGCGATACGAATCCGAGCATGGTCTCATGATCCAAACCTTCATCTCTTAATTCAGACTGCAATCTTGAAGCCTCCTCTTCAATAGAATTCCATAACCTCAACTCTTCTTCCCGGGAAACCTGACCAGAAACCGACTCTTCTCCTCCAATTGTGACTCTTCGCCAGTTAAACGTCCCCCCATCATCATCTGTAGCGCCTTTGGTTGGCCTGAATTTTCCACCGCCACCATTGCTTCCACCAATAGAGGTAGTTTTCCCATTAGAAGAGGACACCGAAAAGGTCTTGATGGAAGAAGAATCGAACTTTTGTTTTGCATTAGTTTGATCTTCCATCACAGAAACCGCCTCCTCGGTGGCTGCAATGGGAGGAGCACCACCAGCCATTGCCATGGAATGGACACTGTAATTGGCGAGGAGTATCATCACATACACCATTAAAGTCGGGGTGCGAGAGAACACTTGTTGAAATAACCACACAAAAGAGGCATGCATCTCCTTCTGAACCCTCACCAAAACCCCCTGCAAATCTTCATAACACAACATTTCTCTCATCTGCAAGGTATAGCTATGGAGTTCCCGGATTATGAACACCATATTCGAAAACGCTCTCTTCACAGAGCAAGAGGCTAACTCTAACTCTAACTCCCCTTCTTCGCGAAACCCCTCTTCCCACTGCTTTTTTCTCCTTATAATCCTAAGAGAGAAGGGGAGATCCACACTATTTGCCTTCCATTCTGGAATAATCTCCTCCCTCTCAACCCAATCCGGTGGCTCTAATGGATCAAAAACCTTCCGATTCTCTAAAAACATGGAACCACTGCTCTCATACTGTGCTTGCCTAGAATCACCCACCAATTCTTCCTTGTCCGAATCTTCATACTCATCCCCAGACAACTGAAACCTCAGAGCCAATTCTTGAATTTTCTTGGAAAACTCCTCGTCTGAGAACGAGTCTAAGGTGTCGCTACAGGAGCGTGTGAGTGTTCGGGCTCTGCGTTTCGGCAGCTCAGTAGAGAAGGACCTGAAAAGCGTCATTGAATTGGGTCCGAGTACAGCCGACCGGTTCAATATATTATGCACACACCGCCATGTGAGACCACCTTCATTGCTTGTAAAATTACGCCTTTTCCAAGTAGGAGTGGTGAGGGCATGAGAAGAAGACGGCGACTGAGCTGCCGAAGGTTTCGACCAATGTAAACACGTAATCGCAACTTTCACTCCCATTTTCACACCTAAACAAAGAAAACGCAGACCAATCTGAGAAAACAAGAAAAAAATACCATTGAGAACTTTAACAAAAAAGAATAATTTTTTTTTCCTGGCAACCTTGAAAAAGATCTCTGCTTTCCACCTTTCAACTCAACTCGTAACCTGGAAACACAAAACCAGCAATTCCTAGTCAACCCATGTTCGCAATTTTTCTCGAAAACACTCGAATTTCGAAGACTAAGCTTACAATGAACATACCCACTCCTTGTTTTCTTATTTCTCGCCATAAAAATCGGATCATAGCAGCAACCCAAATGCGAAAGTAAAAGAAAATGAAAAAAGAAAAGCCCAGGAAAAGATTAATTAGTACAAATCTCAATGTAAGCTGTAAGAAACTTACGTTGCCGGAAGTTCAAAAGTTGTTTAGTTCTCCGACGAGTCAGAGAAACAATCGCCGGCGGAAGCTTCTTATTGGAAGCGAAGTACGAGCACCGTACCCTCTCACTTATGACTTATCAAGATGAGCTGCTCATTTCAGCGCTAATATATACACTACTCAATATTTATATTTTTAAAAATAATTAATAAATAATATTTTTTTATTACAAGAGAAGGGGAATACCCAAATATACAAGATTACAAGCTACTGGCTTTTAAACTCATTACCTCCCACTCAGAAGAACAACTTGGTACCATTAGATCACAAGATCCTTGGTTAATTAATAAATTCTTTTTGTGCAGATCACAAAAATATATGCTCAATATTTATATTTTAAAAAATAACTAATCAATTCTTATTAATTAGGCAAAAGTATCATTCCGCACCATGAATTATATCAAATTGTTCATGCCGCACTATGATCTTTCATAACATATATTTAGAGTCACCTACCATTAATTTTTTTTGGAGTTAATTACCGATTTGGTCCCTCAACTATGAGGATTTCACCATTTTGATCCTCGACTTTCAAAATTGACCAATTTAATCTCCAACTATACAATTTTTATTCAAAATGGTCCTAGGTACAAACTGTCATTAGTTAAACGTTAAAACTGAGGACAGAAATGTAATTTCACTTTATTTATCTTCCCAGATGTAGCTGGTTTAATCTCAACTCTATGCTATGTTTGCAGAGCGAAAAAAAACCCTTCCAAAATCTAACCCTAATCGCAAAAAACTTGAGAAATCTAAACCTAATCGCAAAATCCATAAACTAAATCTTTCTTCTACGATTGTTGTTCTGTGTGATGGACTTAATTAACCCGGGATAGACCCGAATTAATAAATCCGGATAAGAACGTAATATAAATAATAAATAAATAATACAAAACGATGTTGTAAAGGCCGTAGAGACCGTATATTGTATTAAATGCCGTAAATTGGTTATTACAATGGTTTCAGGACAAAGTGTATGCAATGGATCGCGATTATCAATCTATTACAAGGATAATGTAATGCCATTACCAGTAGTAGTTTAGGACAAAAGATATAAGATGATCCCCTGTAAATATCGTACAATGCTTATTTATACAAAATAAATCTTAACCAACATGCCAATTTCATGATGGGCCATAAGACTAAGTCAAGCCCCATGAGGTGGGCCGCATGACTAAGTCAAGGCCCATTATTCTGGGCTCGGAGACGGACTCTGAACTTGACACTCTTCTTGGGCTGCTCGGGTTATACATTCCCGGACCCCGGGTCTCTATTATTATTGGGTCATTTCCAATATATCCATCATCAGTCCCCCACTCTCTAAGTTGCGAGAAGTCGACAACGAGAGAGAGTAACCGTTTGGCCCAATTGAAATTACTCGGGCTCCATGCTTGGATGAATGTTACGGCGTCAACTTGAATGGGAATATTTTGCTTATTCCAACACCTGTAAAACTTTTAGCCTTACAATTTAATCCGTGATCCGATCTTCTCCATTCGAGGGTGGGCTGTCCGGACGACGCAGAGTCGTTTATTAGATTCTTGCTCGCGTGATTTTTTTTTTACATAGTATGTAGTTATTTGGCCAAGGGTACTCTTGGTCCAAAAAATCTTCCGTTGGGGTTGGTACGCGAGGTCGGACCTCGTGCCCCCTTAGGATGATAGCCCTTAGACCCAAGTCATTTGACACTGGGCCGTTAGGCTCTTCCGTCGGTTGGTACGCGAGGTCGGACCTCGTGCCCCCTTAGGGTGATAGCTCTTCGACCCAAGTCTTTTGACACCCGGCCGCTAGGCTCTTCCGTCGGGGTTGGTACGTGAGGTCGGGCCTCGTGCCCCCTTAGGGTGATAGCTCTTCGATCCAAGTCATTTGACACCGGGCCGCTAGGCTCTTCCGTCGGGGTTGGTACGCGAGGTCGGGCCTCGTGCCCCCTTAGGGTGATAGCTCTTCGACCCAAGTCATTTGACACCGGGCCGTTAGGCTCTTCCGTCGGGGTTGGTACGCGAGGTCGGGCCTCGTGCCCCCTTAGGGTGATGTTAACGTTTCCGTTCCCGAGCCGAGGGCTTGACCACGGAAAGGTTCTTCCGTCGGATAGCTAGCGGGTACGGATCCCGTGCTGATCCTTAGGGAATGTATTGAGCGAGCAATATATATGTTTTTTTTTCACAACCGGAATTGGCCCGTGACTCGGACTCCTCCCTCAGAAGGGAAAATTATTGTATGGACCATGGTCCACACAAAGTTATGTGGACCATAACAAAAAGTACATTTTTAATATACTAAATGTACATTATTTTTGTACTGAATATACATTATACAATATAATGTACACTCAGGACAAAAATAATGTATATCCCCTGTATACAATATACATTATTTTTGTACTGAATATACATTACTTTGGTACTGAATGTACATTATTTTATAGTAGACAAAATATGGTCCACACAACTTGAGTGGACCATGGTCCACACAATAATGATTGCTTCAGAAGGGTAAGATTTGCCGAACTCGGACTAATTTTACAATCAAGAAATGTTTCATTATAATAAAAACAAATTGTTGGTCGGACCAACATATATGTAATAAGCCAAAAATAGGCTAGATAGTGAGCGGGGCGGGCTGCGTATCACCGCTAGGGAATGCCAAGGTCAGGGCCGGCGCGCGCCGCCGTGACTATGGATTGATTATTTTGCCTAGAGTTAGGTGAGGTCGGACCTCACACCGCTACTAGGGAGAACCAATAATAAAAATAACAACAATAAGATGACGTAGAAAATTGCCTGCTATGAAATAAGATGTGTCTTATTGTTTTTGTTGATATAATTATCTTGTAGAGAAGATAATTATGTTAGCATTGCCATGTCAAAGCTAATGGAGACGAATTGAAGAAGAGCACCTGGAGTACATGGGAGGAGCGGTTGTTGATAATGAACTTGGCGGTTCAATTCACTTTTACAGACACTATCGGGGTTCAAGCTCCTTTGTCCAAAACATGTGGAGTTAAACCACCACCGTCAAAATTCACTGTTCTATGCCGCAGTATTTAGAAACCAACCACAGAAGTCCCAGGGGAACATGAACATGATGTACTCACACTGATGGGTTGGGGTAGTTATCGGTACAACATGCATTGCAATATCGATGCCCGTCGAAATCTCCTCCTATACACTTCCTTATCCATCATATCATTTGGCTCATTCTCTCGATTAGAGGGCACTGCATGTTGCACCACCAACACTGAAAAAACGTACCTCTACCCTTGTTCAGCCATGTCACTGTAGCCATATCTGCAGATTCCAAAAGGCCCTGCAATCTTGTGGAACCAAACCCCCCTTAAGCACCACCCAAGAAATCACGACTGAATTGGCGTTTATAATTTGCGAATGAATCCCATAGGATCAACATCCGATGCCTGCGTCCTCCCCCGGCCGGAATATTAATGAACCTCGCTTCTCACAGTCAAATGCACGTCACCGCCGCCGATCTGATAAGACTCATCAATCCTCCTCTACGCAATGGCTTCTCTGATCTGCCACCTGGGTTGCCGAAATACAATACAACGATGATCTAAGATAAGCGCATTCATTCCAGTACGGACGTCCACGATTGATGAGGATTCCAACGTAACGGCCGGAGCAAGGAGCGTTAACGAGCGCTGCTTCGTTTACGTGTACTTTGATCTGGATAGATAAGCGAACGTACAGAACACTGCAACACTGCAACACTGCGAAACTCCGATCCAGTATGGAGATCCTAGAAAACTCTCACGCTAAGTCGCTGATCCCCGGCTTCCTCTACTCTTCCCCTTCGTCCTTCTTGGCGTCTCCCAGTCTGTCAGCTTGGACCAATCTCGGACTTCCGTTCCGCCGCCGCTAGCGATGGAGGAGCGGAAAAGGTTCCGTGATCCCGGCGCCCAAGGAGCCCTCTAAGAAGATCGAGGTGTTCTCGCCGGCGTTTTATGCCGCCTGCACCTTCGGCGGAATCCTCAGCTGCGGCCTCATGCACACGACCGTCACCCCTCTTGACGTTGTCAAGTGCAACATGCAGATTTACCCCTGCCTGGTTACAGGGCCCAAGGAGCTTGCAAGTATGGGTTCTCGTCGACTTTGCCGGGGAATTGCAGTGGTCGCGGAACTGATTGCACTAATTTCTCACCTTCCTCTCTTCGTCACAGGAAAATCACAGGGAATTAAGGAAAACATCGCAGAGCTCGGAGCAATCGTCTCCGTTGATGTGGGAGGCCATCTTCACGTTTATGGCATGTGGAGGCGCTGAAAACGTGGTATGGAGTTCCTTCTGTTTAAACGCGCCACTACTCCAATTAGATCGATTTTGTTGGTACCGTTGGTAGAAAATAAATAATAATCAAATAATAAGATTATTATTTTCTGGAAAACAAGGGAAGGAAAGATGGAGAATTTTGGCTCGTGTTTGGTGTTGGGTTTTTGCAGGAGTCGAGTGAGCACTCTTTCCTTAAAACCTTATTTGCCACCTCCCAAAGATGCTAGGAGCGTTGTGGCCTAGGCTTCCCAGGATAAAACTTGCTAGTGATTCAATGTTTGAGCACTCAAACAAGGAATCCGGCGAGCAAGACACGACTATGAACACAGGAGGCTAAAGAAGGAGTAGAGGCAGAGAGGTTTTGAGGCTAAAAAGAAGAACTTTCGTATTCTATTTCTGTGTGTAAAACTCTACTGCCCAACTCCTCTTTATATAGGGGTGAAGGATTTAATAGCTTTTAATTAGGCACTTAAGGGCACCCCTCCACCTTCCTGTAACAGCACCATTAACATGGCCTTCAATTCAAAATTAAAATTGGAATTAACTCAAAAAATTAATTCCGTAACAGTAGAATTGAACACCCAACGGTCACAAAACTGCACAGGTTCTTGTAGGCCGAAACTAGAACTTTCGGCCATGGGCCCTTATCATGTCTCGGCCCGCAAGGCCGAGACTTCAGTTTCGGCTATAAGCCGAAACTGCATGTTACTGGTTTCGGCCACCACTAGGCCGAAACCAAGGTGTGGCCGAAACTACCTACTGGTTTCGGCCTATAGCCGAAACTGCATGTTACTGGTTTCGGCCACCACAAGGCCGAAACCAAG